TAACCAAAAACTGGAATGCGTACACATATTGATGAACGTGAAGCCTAGTGCCGCTGCTGCGGAGGGGATACCTGTTTTTGTCGCACTCATTATGTTAAATGGTGAAAATTGCTTCCAACACGTAGTGATGTGAACAAGGGAACGTTCTGATTATGCTTTCGAGAACGTTCGCGAACGTTCGCGCACGGAAAAACGGTTCGTGCTGAATATTACCTTTGGAGCACAATAGAGAATATTCAGCACATTTTCAAGCACGATCTTAACCAATAAAATCACATGTCGCCAACTCCCAGCCTATAAGATGTTTTCGAAAGTAGCGTGATTCTTGAACCCAATAAAATCACTCTAATGCCGTTGGTCCATAATTTGGCCCTTAGGTACTTTCTATGCATTAGAGAATAGAAAGTACCTGCTAGGTAACAACCAGACACTTACCAGTTGGTCCATAATTTGGCCCTTATGCATGAAAATTTTGCCAGATAGAATATAGGTACCCGACAAATTAGAATAATTATTGTTGTCAAACAAACATGACGCGAATTATGAGATAATATAATATAATATATAATTATTATATTATATTTTCCTAAGAAGTTTGAGAATTTTCAGTATATTTATGAAAAATTTTCAGAATATTCAGAACTTTCACAAGAAATTTGGGAATTTTCGGAAATTTGGGAAAAATCATAATTTATTTAGAAAAATGTTTTGTTTCATTCAGCTGCTGATAAGAAGCGTAAATTCTCGGGTCCTGCTCGTTTTTGCTCGTTTATTCTCGTTAATTCTCGATCGTGCTCGGAGAACGTTCTCCTAAAATACTTGCTCGAGCATTTTACATCACTACCAACACGTATTCCAATTGATGAAACCTGTGAAGGTAAATATGACAAAACTTGCTAAAACGTCATATGTCAGCGAGCAACAGAAAAAAACAACATTCCCCGTTGTGGCATCTGTCTTTCATGGCTTCATTTTTTTGGCAGATATGGCAATGTGTGCGCATTCCAGTTTATAGCTATAGTTCATTGGTTATAACCAAATAATAATCATTCCAGGCTGAAAATCGCCTCATGTAGTTCAGGGTGACAACCGAAAAACTTCAAACGCAACATAAATCAGCATTATGAACAACAAAATAATGTTGGCACCTTGAACTACATGAATAAATACATGGAAAAATACACAGATGTAATACGGGCACAACAGTGGTAATACCTATTTTAGTAGTTCAATGTGCTTCAAAAATACTCAAATTGAAGGAAATTGAACGACAAAGTGTGTAATAAAAATTAACTAGCGTATACCCGGAGTGCGCTACTACGCTAAAAAAAGAATTACATTTTGTTATTTTTATTTTTTTTTCCATTTACTTCAAATTATTTGATATCCCAATACACATTTTTAGTTATATATTGGTAATCGTATATTTTACAACACCCACTTTAAATAACCTATAGTTCAATAATAATATGTGGGAAACATTTACATCACCCTTATAAAAGCCTTAAAACACTTAAATGGCGGAGTTTATAAAGGTTACCAACACCTGTGTTAGTAACGTAATATAACTGCAAGATTTATAGAAGTATTTATTTAAATATTTCCAGAAACTTTATAAACCCTTTATAAAAATATAAATTAAATGATGTTGACACCTGGAGTAACAAGTTTCTTTTTGTCTTTGTCTATTCAATTATTTTTGGTATGTTTGTTTGATGATGATGCCTCCAGCGCCTCCGTCTCATGAAGGGATAAATAAATGCACAAGGACAAGTCCTATGTTGCACCAATGGCTTCTGCTAGATGAGTACTTGTTTCACATTCACATAAAAATAGTGTTGTTAAACCATTGATCCTGGTCCGAATTTTCATTGCCAAGCGATTTTTACTGATAAATATACATGTTATACCTTTAAAAAATGCGAGCGCCTTTTGAAAGATCCATATTTGATTGTATTGCCATAAATATAAAAATAAAATTTTGAAAAAATATTAATATTTAAGTGACAAGTTCTTGAGAAAAAAATTGCTTATTTAATTATATGAGGTTCTTATGCATATTTATCACAAATTGTTAGCTAATTGTCCTAAATTTTTGAATTTCACGTTGACCTGTGAAACAGCGTCCATTTTTTTTGCAAATTAAATATGGCAGAATGAAGACTAGTTTAATTTGAAAAATTAATTACCTTTATATTACCTAAAGGAACTTCACATAAATTATGGTACCCTATATAGCTTCTTTTGATTTTATAAAAGGTTCTTATAAAACTTTAAAGTTTATAATGGTAACAAAAATTACCCCAGGTACTATAACTTATAAGTTAATAACCATCATTACACGTCGCCCATGCAGGTTTCCCAGTTTCCCATGACTTATTTCGCCCAATCGCGTCACCCGACATAATTGGTCTGAAAGTGGTACGTGACAGCTTTATCCACATTTCTGAGTTCTGACCAATCGTAATTCGTAAATAAGGGTTGAACGATTACGCAAAATACCCGCAGTGAGGCACCGGCATCAACATAAAATGACAACAATAACCTCACTTTTTTCAGTTCACTGCACAGGTTTATTGTTTCTGTTTGGCTTGATGTGATGTTTGGTAATGCTGCTGGCCGCTGGTATTTATTTCACTCACCCAATTTGTTTATTATTATACCCCCTGTGAATTATATAAAGCATCCTCACATATCCAAAAGCAACAAAAAATTATGAAAGACTCGTCAATTACTTCTATTTTTATGAAGGCAAAAGTTATCACCATTTTTATAACTAGGGAATGTAAAGTTATATAAAAAGGTAACCGCAAAATGTATAAAACTTTATTATATACCTATTAGTAATAGTTACTCTAGGTTTTATAACTTGGTAGTTGAAATATTTATGTCACCTAGTTATATACCTAGAGGTTGGGGGATATTATAAAACTCTTATATACTAAAACCACTATTCATTCCTCTTATATACCCTTCATATAATTAGATGTTACCATAAGTAACGAAAATTGTTTATTGGGATGATAGACGCGATAATCACAAATGATAAAACCAAATAAATCCTTTTAACAATTAATTTTTATTGTTTTGGATCAATTTTTTTTGAAATTGTAGCTCCTAATAAGGGCTTCAAAATGGTACTCAGTTAAAGTCGCTGGCATTTACGGTTTTTGAGAAAATCGAGTTTAAAGTTTTTGATCAAATTTCGAGTAAAACAAATTTGAGGCTCAATTGTGCGAAAAGTATTTGAGTTATGAAACTCAATCTAGCACTGATTTATAGAGAATTTAATGCTCTTTCCCACCATATATAATTTATTTTGATTTGCGCAAATTTTAATGGAGGTATTGGCAATTGCTCCTAATTTCGATTTTTTCAACCCCTTTGGACTTTAATTTTAAAATTTTCAAACTCAATTTTCTCGAAACCCGTCAAAGGTTTTGGATTGTAGCCCTTAATGAGAGCTTTGAAATGGTACTTAGTTGAAGTCGCTGGCATTTACGGTTTTTGAGAAAATCGAGTTTGAAGTTTTTGACTAAATTTTAACTGAAATCCAACTTTGAGGCTCAATTGCTCTAAAAGTATTCACGTTATCAAACTCAATCTAGCACTGATTTATAGAGAATTTGATGCTCTTTCCAACCATATATACTTTATTTTGATTTGCTTAAAATTTAATAGAAGTATTGGCAATTGCTCTTAACCTTGTCAGAATTTTAAAAAAAAGTTAGATCTGAAAATTAGGATTTTCTTTTTGATTTATTTTTCCCTTTTGAAATCGAGATTTGGAAATGAAGTTAGAGTTTTTTTCGACTAATTTAGATCCGCTCTATCGATTGGAAAAGTCAAAATTTAAAAAACCTGAGAAATAAAAATTTTGATTTTTTCAAAGGGTTACCCCTTTAGATTTTTATTTCAAAATATTTGATCTTGGATATCTTGAAATCTATTAAAGATTTTGAATTTAAATTTTCAGGAAATGTAACTTTTGACAAGGGCTTTAAAATGGTATTCAGTTAAAATCGCTAGCTCTTATGGTTTTCGAGAAAATCGAGTTTGAAATTTTTGATAAAATTTCGACTAAAAGTATACTTTGAGATTCAATTGCCCAGAAAGTATTCGAGTTATCAGAATCAATTTAGCATGGATTTATAGAGAATTTAATGCTCTTTCCAACCATATATAATTTAATTTTGATTCGATCAATCTTTGAAGATATTGGCTATTATTCCTAACCTTGTCAAGATTTGCAAAAAATTTCCAGAACGAAAATTGAGATTTTTTAACTTTTTGAAATCACCATTTTGAAAAAGATGTTAGAGTTTTTTTCGATTAATTTAAACCCGCTGAATCAATTGGAAAAGTCAAAATTTCGAAAATATGAAAAATAAAAGTTTCGAGTTTTCGATTTGTTTGACAAAAACTCCCCATAAGCGACGCCACTGGCCAAACAAAATACATGTTGGGAACTTGAAAAATAACCGGCGAATAGCAACAAGAGCCTGGAATAAACAGAAATTGAAATATAAAAAGGGAATATATCAAAAGAACAAATACAAATTTATATAAAAATCAAAGGACCTCACACACCACTTATGGATATTTGGTTTTCTGTCAAACAAATGAAATTTGTATGTTAATGAAGTAAAATTTTAATACATTACGGGGGATGTTTATAAAGTGTATGCCATTGTTAAAAATATTCAAAATTGATGAAATTTCAAAATTACCAGAAATTGCCATTTTTCAAAAAGTTTTTCACCAATCACCAGATTTTTCATAAAATCACCAGATCTGGTGAAATTTCACCAGACCTGGCATCACTGATTTGTACTGAGTCAGAGTCCAGTATTAGTAGTTCCAAGCTTGGATCATAATTATTATTCGGAAAAGATATTCAATTTTAAAATAAAATTATAAAAACGCGATAATGGAGTTCTAAGTACCTAAATACAAAGCACTTTCAAAGATTACGTCAATATAGTGAAAATACTTTTGTTTAAGCAATTGTTCAAGTGCTTCTGAAGTTATTTTTATTTAATCCACTTGAAATATGTCTGTATATAAAAGCAGTGAAATAGTAACGGTACTCAAAAGTGAAAAAAAAATGCTGCACCAAATCGTGCTAGCCTTGTTGGTTGCTATGGCATTTGCCGATCATCAAATATGGCCTGGCACCAGTACCAGGCCAATATTATCTGATGCTGAAGCTTCAAAGTACACCAAACAAGCCTATTTACAAGGATGGACTCCTGGTACCATATCAACTAGCAGAGCTGACTACACTGTAGGCAGTGGTGGTTTTAGTACCATCCAGGCAGCTGTAAATGCTGCCATCAACGTAAGCAAACGCAAACTAATATTACTTCAATTATCATAGACTTATTTAGGCAGGAGGTACCACAAGAAAATACATAAAAATCCTGCCAGGTACCTATAATCAAGCAGTTTTGATACCAAAAACCTCTGTGCCCATAACGATTTACGGTACCAAAGGTAATCCAGATGATGTCCAAATTGTTTTATCACAAGGTGCTAATTTGAGTGGTTCCGAATACGCTCAGCAAGTGAACCCGAACGGTGCCGTCTACAAAGATGGAGATCCGGCTTGGTCAATGTACAGTTCTTGTGCTAAAAAAACTAAAATTGGTAACTATGAAGATTCTTTTGTATATATTATCAAATTTACGCTTGCTCACTCATTTTTTATTATAGGAACCAGTTGTTCTAGTATCTTCTGGGCCAAAAACGACGATTTCGAAATCGCTTACGTTACAATCGAAAATCCTTCTTTGGACGGTCAGGCTGTAGCTGCCAGAGCCGATGGAGACAAACAAAACTGGAACAATATTAACTTTTACGGGTTCCAAGTAAGTGAATTTCATTTTAGATGTGACAATGTTACATTCATCAAATTTTAAGGACGTTTTATTTGCAAGTGGTAAAAGAATCTACTTCAACAAGCCTATTATCGTTGGAGACGTTGATTTTATCTTCGGATCAGCTTCGGCTGTATTTGAAGGAGCTCAAATCTTTGCCAGAGGCGACAGGCCTAGAGATTCGGCTATAATTTTTGCCCCTAATACAGAAAGCAGCCAAAAGTACGGGTTCTTGGTTCTAAACAGCAAAATTATGGCCGATATTAATATAAAGGCTAATATGAGCTGTAGTTTGGCTAGAGCTTGGGATGCTAGTTCGAGTAAGGAGCCTAATGGCCAAGTTGTTATAAGAGAAACTGATATTGTTGATGTGGTAAATTTGATTGCGCCGTACGATACAGCCACAAGTGGCAGGAAATATGCAGGAAATTCAGCCACCAATAGGAATTTGGACGATAGTCGGTTTAACAGGTTCTGGGAGTATAAAAATGTTGGAGCTGGTGCTTAAAATTATCGATAATAAAGATATTTGATAATAATTGTGTTTGTTTTTTCTTTTTGGTTCGCCGAAAAAAAGGATTCCTTAATTCAGAGAAATGCGAACTTCATTCAATAAAATTGCGACTTTGGATATGGCCAAGTGAATATTTTCTTCAAAAAAGCTAAATATTTTCTTGTCGTAGGTTTGTTTGAATACTTTACTGGAAAGAAATAAGTTCTTGTCTCAAGAACACTATCCCAATGTATTCAACACAATTTTCATGTTCCAAAGTAGTTAATTTTCCAATTTTCTTATCCCAAGAAACTTATTCGATTCCATTGAAGACCAAAGTATTTAGCTGAAGATATCAATTTTTTCACTAGAGGTCATCACATCACGGCTTAAGTGAAGATGAAAATTTTTTGCCTGGAATCCATAGATATTTGATGATAGAATTATTGGTCATGAAGAAACATCAGATTTGGTTTATCTTTGAAAATATTCATCAGCCTAAGAATTTAAACAATTTCTACAAAATATTGGCCCACTAACAAAATAATTATTATGTCATTACAATTTAAATAATTAAAACTGCTAAATTGCAAACATCATTTAGGTATACTACTTGTAAAATTCACATTAAATGTCTGCAAAATTTTCCAACAAGTGGGAGTACCTAGTGGGACTCTTTATTTCATCGGCGAGACGAGACAAGACTTTATGAAAATCTCGTCTCGTTGGTTTCGTCGGAATTACTAATTCAATATTAGTTTGCCTAAAAGGCTGAACGAATATGTTAGATGATCTGAGGTGAGATACTTTAGAGTAATATACACGAATTTAAAACAGGAGAATCAACAATACAATTTATATTAAAAAAAAAAAACAGCTCGAGATCTGCCTGGTCCCTTCTAACCTATCGGTAGTGCAAATCTTTCTTGAAGCAGTTTAAAATCGTAGCTGTATCCATCCCGGAAGGGAATCTTAGATTTCCAAACCTAACCTAAAGAACTATGAATATAACACGCGTTATGAGGGTTCCAAACTGTTGAACAATATTCCAAAAAAGGTCTTACAAGGCTACAGTACAGTACAACATTCTAATAGCAGATATACTTGTAAAGTCTGATGTAGTTCTCTTGATGGTGTGCTCGGGAAACTATAGTAGTATCTAATATGATTAATATATGATAGCGTGGAGTCCATTGTAACTTCAAGGTCGCGGATGTTTAAAAAGACAGAAGTGAGCTTTTTATGTTATAATTGAACACAATATTATTAGAATTACACATTGCATCTGTAAGTTTAAGAGGGTGGTATGTTATGCCACAGCACTTAGGCGACATTAGGCCGGTTGTGCGCCTCCACAAGAGGAGAGGTCATCCTTAGCTGGTTACCCAGCCTAGCGATGACGTCGCCAAGGGCGGTGCCTGTGATCTCTTCTAGCGATGGGAACGATTGGCCTAATCTGGCTCTGCGTATTGACAAAAGAGCAGTGCAGTCACAGAGAATGTGCTCTACCGTCTCGTCTTCTTGATTACAAGCGCTAGACAAGGATGTATAGTACTGAGATGGAGTTCAAACAAATTTTTGTTTAACTGACAGTGGCCAGTCAAGATGCCCGTAGTCTTTTCCTGGTCAACGACAGCTTATGGCTCGCTGCAGCTTTATCTGAGTAGCTAGGAGTTCCTTAGATAGGTTGCAGCCAATTGTATCGTCCCAGCGCTTTTTAAAAAGGGTATGGGAGCATTATTTTTATCATATCTCTGGCCGCCGACATGATCAGCCCTACGATGGGCTCCGGTTTAGAAGGCTGTAGCCTGGTAGCCCTTCTATAGCTAGAGCATCGGTGGCCCGATTGCCTTTGCTGTGATGATGTTTGATCCAGCTTACTGTCACCGTATTGTTGATCGACGTTGCAGTGGGTGTACGGTGGCAATGTTGTACTAGTTCTGACGTGAGTCGCGGTCTAGATAGCGCTAGTTCTGCTTGTCTGCAGTCCGTGTGGATGTGCACGGTCTTGCCAGTGATACTTACTGCTGCTGATTATTTGTTCGGCCGCGATGGTTATGAGTGATTTCCGTTCAGAGGACATCAGGCATGTAGCTAAGGGCTATAGCTAGGTGCAGTTTGAGAGCTTTGGAGTATACTCTGCATCCCGAGCCTGTTTGAGTTTTGGAACCATCAGTGTAGATGTTACTTACCCCTGCCACTGCGTTGTTTCCGATGCCTTTCGTGTTGATTGCGTAGTGCTTTTTGAGACGGACCATGGTGTTGCAGAGTCCACTCTGGCCTCCAACAATAGAAGCGAGTTCGTTATCTCGCGCTATATGCGGGCTCTCTGCACACCGATTTCTGCACTTGGTTCTATTCCAACAGTGCGGAAGCGCATCATTGTGGTTAAAATGACCTCCTTGACATAAGTATCCAGGGGCGTCAAACATAGGATTACTTCCAAAGCCCTCTGGTTGGTGTGGTTTTCATTGCACCAGTTATGTTGAGGCATGTCATTCTTTGAACTTGGTCTAGTTTTCGGCTTATAGTAGTGTGTTCGGCCTCATGTCCCCCAGACAATAGCCCCATAGGTAAACATAGGCCTGATGATGGTTGTATAGATCCACTACCCTGGGGGAGAACCCCCAAGTCTTACCGATAATAGGTCTACACTGTTCAAAGGTGATAAATGTTTTATGTATTTTCTTAATAATATGAGAGTTCCATGTTAGTTTACAATCGAGTGTCACTCCCAAATATTTGACCTCGAAGGCAAAACTTAGTTTGGTGTTTTAGAGTCTGGATGCTGTCGGAAGTACCATTTTCCTGTTTCTTGTGAATAGGACCATTTCAGTCTTTTTGGGGTTGATGGTCAGAGACCAGCTTGTGTGTCTGGGGCTACATACTGCTTTCTTACTTATAAATAAAACCAAAAACGCGTATTACGGCGACAATTCGTTCCCCACCAACCGGCAACAGACCCTCAGTGAAGAGGACTATGGAAGAGGTAGAAGAAGATGCAATATCCATGGTATCCCTCGCAAACGAGGGTGCCACGGTATACAATTTAAGGGACAAAACCAAGGCTCTAAATGCTAAACTGGCAATCTACCACGGTAAATGCACGGAATGCATGCATGAAGAAATTCGGAAAATGACGGCAAGTACAAACCCGCTACCCTTTAACATGGAAACTATGAACCATGCAATTATTCACCTAGGAAAATTGCATAAATTAGTCCAAAGCAAAAAGAGGTATAAGGTAGCATCAAGCACGCCACCAAAAACGAACAACACTAAACATTCCACAGAAGCAAAAACGGTGCCATTCCACAACCAAAACAACAACGGAAGCAGCCACCGAAAATTGCCGCCGATTTAACCGACGGCTTCAAAATCCCCCTTAAAACCATTGGTTTCAAAAAAATCATGGCCGTAAAACAACAGGATTTTGGGGTACCAATCCCAACAGCTAATAGATTTGAGGGACTCCCGTCGAAGTCGGAATGGCTAGCAACATCTCGGAAGCGTCTGGAACCACGTCGATCCGTAACAAAACTCGCCAAAATATTCCTAAGGCAAAAGCCACAACAGCCAAACCAGTTAAACCTCCCTCAATTGTGGTTAAGTGGAAGTTTCAAAATCACCGGGCCCTTAGCGACCTGTTCACTAAACTGAACATCACCAAGTACTCCATAAGGTATTCCAAAAATTCAAACATCATTTACTGTGAACAGGTCCAAGACTGGCAAACATTGCTTAGAGGAACTTTGAAGCAGAAGAACTGGAACACCACACATACGCAGAAAAAGCGACGAAAGGGCACGCTTTTGTCGTATGAGGCCTGGAGGGCGATATCAGCATCCAGGAGCTTACTGATGACCTAAAGGGTAGATATAATATTACAGCCAAAAATATCTACAGGATGAAGACCAAGTACGAAGTCATGTACTTGGTCATCCTGGACGCTTCATACACCATGAAGGCGCTCAACCAGAGAGTGAAGATTATCCTGAACGTCAGGGTACACTGGGAAAACCGGAAATCGTAACGCCCAGTGATGCAATGCCGACCGTGCCAGGGACTAGGTCACGTAGCCACCTACTGCAAAAGGACCCTTAAATGCAGCAGGTGCGCTGGACCGCACGAGATAACGACCTGCAACAATCCAGTGGAAAAATGTACCAACTGCGGGGGTGAACATCGTAGCATCAGCCCAAATTGCCCAGCGTACATCTATAAGATCAGGCAACTTGAACCCCGCAGGAGGTACGTCCCTGCACCACCACCAGCAATACCGGCTTGGCAATCACGGGCGAACCCAGCAACTCAAGAAAACACAGCTTCTGCTAGCCTGGTACCTCCGGCCTCCGCTCCGCCGCAGCCGCAGAGGTACGATCAAGACTTCCCGGCGCGCCGACCCAGGCAAACTCCAAGGACACAAACCTTCCGGCAACAATAAACACAGGAGCGGTAAGTGATAACCAGGCCGACTTTTCAAAGCTGGCTTCTACGATGAGTGAGCTTAACTCACTCGTCAATATTCCAGAACTTTTGAAGGCATTAAATGCTTACATAAATTTCCTCAAACAATGCAATGATGACAAAGCCCAAATCCTACAAGTCACCATGCAATTTTTCTCAACGCAAATTCACAGTTTCAACTTTTAAATCTTCCTCATATAGGGTTATCCAAGTACTCCTTGATAAAATAAATTTAAAAAAAAAACAAAGTGTGTTTTTTTTTTTAAAGATAAAAGTCAAAATGACATTACGTTGGCAATACAATGTAAAATTCTCAATGCTTTCAAATTTTCTATGTATAAAAGACTTGTGTTGCCAACAGAGTTACTAAATTGTTGACTTGGGGAATTATCTTTAAAAAAAAAACAGACTTTACTACAAATTGAAATTGCAATTTTTTTTTTATGGCATTTCAAAGTGTAATTAATGCCATTATATATGGAATATTATGTCATTCAAATGTCCTCCACAGGACCTCCTGCAGGACTCAATCCTTTTGAGGTAATTATCTATGACTTTTTGACACATTTCAGGCAATATTTCGGCCATAACTTGATGAATTTTGTCCTTCAATGCGTCAATTGTTAAAGGGTTGTTGGCATAAACATGATCTTTCGTATATTCCCACAAGAAGAAGTCCAACGGTGTGA